TTGTCTGGATCAGATCCTGCCCCCATCAAAGGCAGACAAAGAAAAATGTCCCATTTACTTCAGTGAAACGGGAGTTGGGCCATGAACCTTTAGTTAGGCAAAACAAATTCTGATCTCATTCTCTGCAGCATCCAAAAAAAAAATCTCAGGAGGGGAAAACTGTTGAAATTAAACCACCAAGTCAACAGTTAGAGTAGAAATGAATGATTTGGAGATGAGTCAGCTGAAGTTCTAATAAATGGGATGAGAAAGTAGTCAGCCTTAGTGAGAAATTGATACCTTCCTAGTACAGACTGTAGTCTCATGTGCATTCAAAGTGAAGAAATTATACTTGATGTGAATCAGTAGGATGAGCTGAAGTCATTGTAAAATGAAATGGCTGTACGTTGGTGCTGAATAGGGAAGAATTTATTAGGGGAGAAGATAAAGGAATTACTGGAGTCTAGTTTTGGAGGCTTGCGAATAGCCCTGACTTACGTACATCATCACCACTTGTGCCATTAAACCAGTGTATTTCTTCCTTTTGTACAGTGTGGACGAGAACTTGGGGTTAGCTAGTGTGGAGGAAAGGTGAGAGATTCCTTTTAATCTCTCTACAAATTATCTGTGTAAAAACAGATTTCAATTAAGGAGCTCTGGAAGCAGTCACACAATCTGCTATGGACTAAGTTACTGTTGCACACTTCATAGCTGTATTCTTGCCTAACCTCCACGGGCACTGAGTGGTCTCACTGCAGTGGAACTTGAATGGCTCCACTGGATGAAAAATGGACCAGGATATGGGGAACCTCTTCAGGTGGCCTACTCCCCCTGCCCTGCCTGCCATACAACAGTTACCTAGGGCTCCTTTCATCTTCTTGCTGCAAGAACAAATGTTGGATAGGTGAAGGTGGGAAAAGTTGGCCTGGGTAGCACAGTGAAGCACAGCTCAAAAGGAAATGTGTTGGTGGCTTAATCATGGAATCACAGAAAGTTAGGGTTGGAAGGGACCTCAGGAGGTCTTCTAGTCCAACCTGCTGCTCAAATCAGGACCATCCCCAACTAGATCACTCCAGACAGGGCTTTGTCAAGCCAGGCCTTAAAAACATCCACAGATGGAGAGTCCACCACCACTCTGGGTAACCTGTTCCAGTGCTTCACCACCCTCCTAATGAGAGAGTTTTTCCTAATATCTAACCTAAACTTCCCTTGCTGCAACTTGAGCCCATTGGTCCTTGTTCTGCCATCTGTCACCACTGAGAACTGTCTAGCTCCATCCTCTTAGTCATCAGGGCATTTTCAGTGGCAGTGCTGCACATGCAGGGGGAAAATGCTGCTGCAGGGACAAAATCCTTGTCCCAGTGCACATGACTGGAGTGAGAGGGGTTTATACTTTTTCTTTTGGCTACTAAGCAGTAGCAGAGCCGAGTCAGGCTGGCAGGATGTGGTGGAGAACAACCCGTGGATTCTACAGAGTTCACCTGACCATATCCCCACACTTCCTTTGGATCTGTGCTTCACTGAGCTTAGTGACTGCGGTCCATGAGCATCAGGTGTATTAAGTCTGCGTCTCCTGGGAACTGCACTGATTTTGCTATGTTTGGACCCAACTGAGCAGGAATAGCAGGGTTTACCACCAACAGTGGATAGTTCATGTTGAACAGGATAAGAATTTGGTTGTTCATGAGTTAATGCCTGCTCAACCCCTACCCTCTTTGGAGTCACAGCTGGCAGCTCTGTAGTCAATGACAACCCAGCGGGGAGCCAGCTGGGCTGCTGCTGCCTGTATGTGAGATCTGAGTAGAGCATTGCAGGGTCAGTCTCCTAAGCACCTAGTGAAGGATGTGTAGGATTAGAGGTGGGATTTTCTGCAGAATTTTTTCAACTGCTATCTTTTTATGGCCCTGCCCTTTGGCTCTGCTCTAATGCAGGGAGAAAGCCATTGTATTCCTGAATATTTGTGTCCCTTTATGTTTTCTGTGAGCTAAATCTTTTAAGTGAGGGCAAATTTTCAAAACCTGCTAAGCTCATGAGGAGGCAGTACTAACAATGAATAAAAGCATGAGTTTTAAACAGGCCCTCCCCACAGCTTGCCTACTGTATACACTTATTTATCCTGACTTGCCCAGACAAATGTCTACTTACCTGACTAATGCTCTCTGGCACAAACCTGATTTGTATAGGCAACCTAATTAAATTGACTCCAAAAATTATGTGAATAAAAGCACTTAAATTATATTTTTGTGTAGCAGATGATCCTAAAGCTTGTTGGACAGAGGTACAAGACTGAAAGGGAGGAAAGCTAGCTTGGAATAGACAGAGAAAGGTAGTCAGCCACATTAATCTGAATCAGGCAGAATGCCAAGTCGCACCTTACAGGCTAACTCATTCAGAGATGTTTCAACCTATGAACCATAACCATAAATTTACGCATCTCTGAAATAGTCTATAAGATGCAACTCTGCCCTGCGTTTTGCTTAAAAGGGACAAGTTGCTTTCTTTGCTAGATACGCAAACAATTTTGGCCTGTGTTCACCAAAGCATTTCCAGTAAGTACTAAAGGTTGTGACTGGAGACTCAACTAAAACTAACAATGATTCTGAAGTCACTGTAAAGTCATTTTAATAAACATTTTCCAGAGATCAGTTTACCTTTCCATTGAAAAATCAAAACGTTGTTTTTGGCCAGCAAATTTGTCAATGAACACTCCGAAGAGCAACTTTGTGTAGCTGAAAACCTATTTTTCTATTTAGTTTCAATACCAAATTTCCATCAATACCAGTTTCCTATTGCTATTAACATGGGAGTTGAGACAAACATTTCATGCTGCCACAATCCTGAATTTTAACTTGACTTTGACTCTGTGTCACTTAACTTCTTTCCCACAAGCAGTGTGACTGGGAAGTGGATGGCGGCTCTCCTGCCATTTTCTAGTTCTCAGAAGCAGACTAGGAATGACAGTGAATGGCAAGAGAGTTGTCATCTGCTTCCTAGTCTTCCCAATGCTCTGGCTGTAATCAGCACCAGCCCTGTACCTGATAGAAAAGCCTTCCCCTGGTGTATCAGTAAGGCTGCACTGGTTGGCATATTAGGGATTAGAGCCAAGGCTCTTTCCACTCTCTTCTGCATGGAAGAGCTGTTATTTGAAATTTTAATTCATACTACAGTGAGTACCAGCATTATATAGGGGCTCTTTCCCCTAGCAGGAGCCCCAGACAAGCCACAGTTCAAGTTTCTGACTTTGACCCAGCTGTTAATTACCTGCGGCAGGGGGGAAGGGGAAGAGGAAGATCATGATTGTTAGGGATGTGCGAAGCTTTCGTTCCTGATTCGATTCGGCAGAGATTTGGCCTGATTCGGTGCCCAAATCTCCAAATCCAAATCAAATTAAATCAGAGGACCCTTTAATCTCTCCGAATCAATTCAGGCAGATTCAACGGTTTGGACATAGACACAGCTTTAAATGTTTTTTCTACATACCTCGAGGTACCAGGCAGCGGGTGACTGCTGCAGTGCTGGAGCGCATGGAGCGTCCCACAGAAGCACGGGGGACTCCCCAATGTGCTCAGCAGCAGACCTGGAAGTGGACCAGGAGCACTTCTGGGTCCACCAGGGAGCGTGCTGGGGGGCCCCCTGGCTCGGCGACTGGTGCCTCCTGGGCCTGGGGGGGCACCTGGGGTCCCCCTGTGGCCGATTGCTGGGCTGGGGGGGGCCCGCCCATGTGCTCCCCAGCATACCTGGAGGTGGACTGGAAATACTTCCGGTCTGTGTATGGGTTCCCTGCCAAGCACCCTGCCTATGCTCCTGTGGGATGCTCCATGCGCCCCAACACCACAACGATCACGAGCTGCGCCTGGTACCTCAAAGTATGTAGAAAAAACTTTTAAAGTTGTGCCTGTATCCGAATCGCTGATTCACTGAATCAGCATCAAATAGTCAGATTCGGATCTGGCCGAATCGAATCGGGGACGGTGATCCAAATCAACGGATTGAATCACTGACCCTGATTCAGGCCACATCCGAATCCAAATCGAATAGGACCCGTTTTGCACACTCCTAGTTGCTAGGCCTGAATGGGGAGCGGATTCATTAGCTTTGGAAATGATTAGTGTCTGTCCCTAGTAAGTGACAGGACAGTTGGTCCAACGTGTCTCAGACTTCAGACTTGTGTGTCTAGCAGACCTAGACAGTCATTTCTACCACGACTAGGATCCAGCCTTTAAAGTTTCAGCAAGGAGGAGTTTGTTTTATTTCCATTATTTCAGTAATTGTTGCCTTAAGTTACGTTGTCTGCTCATATCCTCAGTTTCCAGAAGCAACCTAGCAATTCAGCCTTCCTTCACGGTGGTTTTCTCCTTCTCTTTTTTCATCTATGAGGCTCCTGATCAGAACTTGTTAGCATGAACCCTGGCATCCATGTGGATTTCCATTGACGTTAAGATGCCTAATATCCAGGAGAGATTTAGGACTTTTAAGTTTATATTGCCCATTTAAAAAAAAAAATCATTCATTTAACTACTGCAAAAGAAACCATCAACAAGAAAAAACATTAAAGCAGTGATGGCTCAAAGATCCTGTATTCTGATTTGTTTTGGTCACTGAAAGCCATTTTGAGCCACTTCTGCTTTTACAGCGATTACTGAAAATGGTAGGGAATTTCCAGGTAAGTGGACATCTTGATGTGAATGTATCCAGTTTGCATATCAGTTGTTAGGGAAGTGCGAAAGTTGTAGGTAACAGTGCTAAAAGTAAGAAACTAGCAAATCTATTAAACATAAATTAGAAAAGTACTGTATTTGGCACCACGTTTTACAGCGGCTCAGCCACTTTAAAGATTGCAGGATTTGGCCCTAAATAAATGAGGATAGTCCTGTTAATATAATTATTTTCTTAGAAAGCTACTTGCTTTTTACTGGATTGATGTCTTATCTGGTAGAGGGCTTTAAATATAATATAGCTACAGCTGTACATAACTGCAAGGCATGCCATTAAAGCAGTTTTAAAAAAAAAGGACTACTTACAGAGATTGGAATAATTGCTGCCTATTCCAATATGGATGGAGCTTCCAGAGATGAGGGGAAGATGGAAGAAAAGAACTAAGGAGAGAAAAAAAAAACGAAAAGAAAAGGTCCTTAATAGCAGTTTGTTTTGTTTTGGAGCCAGATGTCATCTGATGACACATGGTGGTGTTAAAGTGCACCCACACTCTCTAGTGCCAGGATGGTCTGTTCAGATTGTGAATCCATTTACAGATGTAGTTTGAATGGGCACATAAAATACATGAGTTGCTGCTGTATGTTTTTGGGAATAACTCCATCTTAGTTAGTAACAGTACAGCTGACTTGGATGCCACAAAGATTTCAAAAGCCATGTTTGAACAACGAGTTATATAAATGTGCTAATAATTGTTGTTAAGTCATTCGTCAATCACTGAATTAGCACTTCCCATTGTAAAACAGAATAACGGCTCCCTAATTTGCTACCTTCATCTGGCACAAATGAGGCAGCGATGTGTGTCCGACGGTCAATAAATGTATTTATTTATGGAATTTTTAAATCTATACCTCCCTAACGTATTTAATGCTTAATAGTGGTGAAGTTGCACTTTTAAAGACTGAATCTGACTATTAAAAGCACAGGCATTTTATACACAACTCAAATCCATGTACAATGTGGCCTCAGTAACATCACCCCCCCACCCCCAAAAAACCAACCCAAAAACCCAGAAAGTTTCTCTGAAGCTCTAGTCGTGTTGTGGCTACAACAGACGACCCGCCGGACTGCAAGCGACTGCCGTCTCGCGCTGGCACAAGAGTTTCCAAGATGTAAATAGCATTTACCTGGAGCACCGGCCCTCACAACCCTACTTTTAGGCACAGAAACATGTCTCAAGCACCGGCTGCACCCCCCCTCCCCCCAACAGGCAGCTCGTGGGGAGCAGACTGCTGCCTGCGGGGACGGGGGGGAGCGAGAAGTTCCCCTAGAAATCCTCTCAGGCGCGGCCGCAG